AAAATATTCGGGAGTGAATAACTCAACAAAAATAATATTTCACAATTTAACACTTTGCCTCAATACCAAATTTCAATATTAGATACTTCATATTTTTAATAATTTAACTAAGAAATTCAACTTTCAAATAATGAGCACAGAATAAAAGGAACAAAGTTTCAACTAAACAGGTAAAATAAATAGCAGAAAATGGTAAGGCAAATTTAAAATTAAAAGTAGACCAATGATGATGAGTATAACATGATAATATAATTTAATTAATATATGACAAAGATCTACACAATTTAAAGCTAGAAATTTTTACATTTAGCCCGTGTAAACACTCGTTACCTCGCGTACACGGCTTTCAATACATCACAATTATCATATCAACACCAATCCTAAGGAAAATTTTCCCTACACAAGGTTAGATAAGTCACTTACCTCGACTTGCGTTAATTCAATCCACTAGTAGGCTTTTTCCTCGATTATCTAATTTCATACTATAAATATAATTATAGGAAACTAATTCGAACGATAAAATTTATGATATTTACAAAGAAATTAAAAAGTCAATTCGGAAAGTCAACGTAGGCCCACGTCACGAATTTACAAAAGTTACGAAATCCGAACCCCCATTCAACCGAGTTCAACCATACCAAAATTACTAAATTCCGATAACAATTCGACCCTCAAATCTTCAAATTTTACCAAGAGGGTTTTCAAAAATTTTCAACTTAAATTACCAATTAAATGTTAAAAACAACTATAGATTCGGGTACTTTAACCAAAATTGAATTAGGAACTCTCTACCCCAATATTTTTCGTGAAATATCTCCCAAAAATCGTCTCACCCGAGCTGTTAAAATCTAAAAATGGGTAAAAATAGCCAACCCCCGAATTATATATTCTGTCCAGGTATTTTCGTATTTGCGGACAACGTTATCGCTTTTGCGGATTCGCATTTGCGACCGCATTTCCGCTTCTGCGAAGAAGCACTAGAAAGCTTCCTTCGCACCTGCGGACAATGGTCCGTTTCTGCGCAACTGCAAATGCGACCCCGTCTCCCGTTTCTGCGCTGCCTTCGTTTCAGCGGTTCATTCCATCACAGAAGCGCCTTCGCTTCTGCGGAGCTCGTTCCGCTTCTGCGACTCCAACTGGGCAGCCCTTTTTTCCGCTTCTGCGAGCCATAGCTCGCTTGTGCGAGTCAGCACCTGTGATCAGTCCCTACACAGGTGCGGTGATACCAGAAGCTGCAAATTTTGGAATTTGCCTAAGTCCAAAAATGGATCTGATTTCGTTCCGAATCACTCTCGGGATACTCGGGACTCCGTCCGAATATACCAACAAGTCACGTAACATAATACGGACGTACTTGGGGTTTCAAATTACATCAAACAATATCGAAATTATGAATTGCACCTCGAATCGCACTTATGAGTTTTCAAACCTTTCAATTTACTAACTCGTGCCGAAACGTATTAAATGAATCTGGAATGACTTCAAATTTGGTATACAGATCAAAAATGACATACTGGAGCTGTTTCAATTTTCGGAATCGAATTTCGACCCTGATATCAATAAAGTCAACTCCCGGTCAAACTTTTTAAAATCACCCATTTTCTAACTTTCGCCAATTTATGCCGAAATGACCTACGGACCTCCAAATAAACATCCGGCCGCGCACCTAAGTCTAAACTCATCACACAGAGCTATTGGAATCATAAAATTTACATTCCGGGGTCGTCTACGCAAAAGTGAAACTACGGTCAACTCTTGCAACTTAAACCTTTAACTTAGGGACTATGTGTCCTATTTCACTCCGAATCCAAAAACCAAACAACCCGACAAGTCACAATACCACAATATAGCATAGATGAAATATAATTTAGGGGATCGAAGGTTAAAATACTCGTAACGACCGACCGGATCGTTACACCTTCTGCTCAGAAGTTGCTTTTGCTATCCTGTTGAATATGAACTCCGTCAGATTTGCATGCGCAAATGAATCCAGTATGTTGGACTTTAATGGAGTTGTATTCTCTAGATCAGAGTTTCCAAATATTTCAATGAAATTTTTTTCTTCTAGAGAACTCGCTGTTGATGCACCATACTACACAGAAGAACGCCTTGGGTGGCAAATTGGTGGTTTGAGCTAAATTTGAGCGGGTCAAAATGGGTTGAGTCATTAAATGGGACATTGCCCAACTCAACCCAAAGTATACTTGGGCTAAGATGGGCTGAGTCAAGATGAGCTAAACAATGGGTTAGAGTCCAACCCGTCCAACTTGACCTATGTTGTAGAACTATGCTCTTCTTGCATAAACAAAGCCCTTTACCTTTTATACACCTATGTATATTCCTTACTATCTTAGCTTCCTCAGAATTTATTCATTCCATGCACAACGATGAATTCCTATATATCTAATTTTAAATTTTTAGCTGAGAAACACATATGGATTAATCTTATACTCAACTATTCATGAGCTTTTATAACTTTCTAAAACTAAATAACTATTTAACAGATTAAAAGAAAGAAGAAGAAAAAGCAAAGAAAATAGCGGTTGAAAAAAAAAAGACAATGTTCCATAAACAATTCATTTAGAAAAGAGCCTTCCGGTCAACTAAGTAAATTTCTAGAAAAATATTTAATTGGGTTGAGTTCCCTTTGTTTTGGGTGAGCTTCATGGGTTGTATTTGAACTACTTCATGGGGCAGAATGAACTATAAAAATGATGGGCTAACTTGGGCTCAGCCCAAATAAACCCATGAGCTAAAATGTTTGCAGCCCAACACATTAATCTCTGGGCGGGTTGGACGGGTTTGGGCTACACCACATAATGTAACTTGTGTAATATAAAATATTTACTTTCCTCATCATAAACATTATATAACAAGAATAAATTAAACTGCATATCTTAATTTGGTAAGACCAGCAACAAAGAAAAGGCATGTATGCTTAAATTTATAAACCTTATCATCCATTCCAAGTTTATAGAACTGTCACTGAGAATTGGAATAAGATAAAGTAATGAGCTACACCCATACCTAAATGAAGCAATAAGAATTACATCAAAGACGGAAGGAACAAGGATATACAGGTGACTGAAAGTATGAAACTGCTTGAAAAGTGTCGACAAAAGTTCAAGTAGGTTTACAAATTAGATTCTGAAAAAATCAAAGGGTAAGTTGTATTATAGGAGCTAAGATACCTACATCGTTATTTCAGAAACAAACATCCCCAAAATTACAACCATAACCTAAAAGTATTTGTTGTCTTAAATGGACAGTGGAGAGTTTTCTTTGCTTCAATCTCCGGCCAAAATGTGGGCAGGAACTTACCCGTGATTTAACCAACAGAATATACACATACTTGCACATTTTTGGCTAATCACAATCTACGTTCACTAAAGTTATGTATTCAACACTTGCTGAATCAACTGTAGCACAAGGCTTGACATCTTGATCTATACACTTAATCACTTCCGCAGAGTATGGCACTACCAGGTTTTCAGCAGCAAAACTAGAAGGCCTCCTCACACTAATTTCATAGCTTTCTTTCCGGTGCTCCTCTGAGTCATTTTCTAGTTTATTTGAATGACGGAATACTTCATCATATAACTTTTTGCTGACAACTGGCTGAGGTGAGAAACCGCCAAAGGTACTATTTAAGTGGTAAGAGTTGCTAAAGGAACCTTCACACTGAACAGACACAGAAGGAATTTCAATAGAAGGAAATAACGGAATCTCAGCCCCTTCAGTTAGCCATTCCTTGTAGTAAAGTGCAAACTGAAAAGTGCCTTTGTCCAGATTTTCATTGTACATTTTTTCAAGAAACTTCAGCTTCATTGACTTATGATATAGATAACCAAGAAAATTAGCTTCCGAATCATACTAGGCATTCAAATGTGAAAGATGAGGAAGAAATATTTGATCCCACAAATTCGGCAACAAATTAGTCCTTGCCTGAAAAGGTGAATCGCAGAAAACTTGCAGCAAGTGCTTTGCTTTTTCACTGATGTTTTCGGTGGGTATTCCATATTTGGTGTCTTTTCAGTTATTCCTATGTTGTATTAAAATTTGGGTGTTCCTCAGACTTTGAATTCGATCGATTGACTCGTGTTTCTGGAAAAAAAAACATTACAAAAATGTTGGAGTCTAATTTACATGCATATGTGACTCTGACTTTCTTCTCCGTATTCCCTTTATTCTCAATCTCAAAGTACGTCACAATTTTCTTAAAGATGTAAGAATCATGCTAAGTATATAAAGATTCCAAATTTCTTCTTTGGAATATATGACCGAAGCTGGGTGTTTTTCATGGAGGAAAAATGAAGTGACGAAGGAGAAAAACATGAAAAGAAATTAGAAATATTTTAAATAATGTGATAAAAATAAATTATTATTTTTTCACAAAAAATTTGACGTGGACACTGGTGTGTCATCCAGGTCAAGCAAGTGAGCAACAACAGCTATGGAGGTATTTACAATATCATGTTTGAACAAATTAAGGTGTACACTTGAAACTCCATAGAGTAAGGAGACCGACATGACAAACGGGGACAACTACAAGTATTTATTAGGCTATTCTGCCTTAAATTTAAAGGTCAATACCTTTTTTATTGATTGAAATCCCAATTCATAGTCTTTTCCAATTCTTTATCTTGTCCGCTAGTCTGTTAATATCTTCCAAAAGCAATAAATATTCAATTTATTTTTACAAATACAAAGAGAACTACATTCTCTTTCATAGCAGCAAGTTTAAAGTTCAAATTGAAGGTTAGTCATTCTTTTTGTTCCTCCATGTAGAAAATTTTATTCTTTTCAACTCAAGTTACTTGAGCTTCTAAGTAGCGTATAATAGATTGTTTTGACTATATATATATATATATATCACATATTTATAGTTTTCTTCATTTTTTATGCAATTTTACCTGTTTATAAATATTTACTATAATTATATTATTTTATAAAATATTAAAAATTAAATACCTATGGAACTTACGCCCCGTGACTCGGTATGTAAAACGCCTCGTCTTAGGCCAACGCCTTTTAAAACACTGTTCAAGAGTAGCTAGGACCTTGCTTTCAGTATTTAGGCCTTCTTCTAATCCAACAAAATTTAGGGACGCAAAAATATTGTGACGAAGTGATGTCCTAAAATCTACATCTATGAGAAAACGTATTATATATCCAGTCAAGATAGAGATTACAGCCTGAACAACAACTTCATCAAGAGCAGGAATAGCTGCAGTGTGCTCAATCTTGGCTTTCCTTACGCTTCCAGCTGTACCATAACTTTTGTTGGTTAACAAACTTCTAGTTGATGTGCTGTAGGAGGTCTCAGGTTGTTCAATATGTTTCTGATAATCATCTCTAAAGCTTGGATATCCTGAAAGAAGTTTACTAGAATTATTGAGACATTTTGTTGTTGCTTTTGTATCTTTTCCGAAGGACTGTCGTTGTCCTTCTGCTTCCTCACTTCTTCTAGAAAACCTGCCTTCACCACTCCCATTTCTGTAAGTTTGATTCGAGTATATATGATTGTATCTCGAACCATTTCGCTCTCCAACCTCAATTCATCAAAAGAACTACTCCCTCCGTTTCAATTTATGTGAATCGATTTGATTGGGCACAGAGTTTAAAAAAAGAGAGAAGGCTTTTGAACTTGTAGTGTAAAATAAGGCACATATATTTGTGTGGCTATAAATCATTGAATAAAGGTAAATTATTTCTAAATAAGGAAATAGGTCATTCTTTTTGGTATAGGTTCACCTAAATTGAAACGGATGGAGTAATACTAATTCTCTTAACATCCGATGATAGATCGCACGAGCCCATTCTGTGCTTACTTTCCTTCTTTTGCCTCCTGTCTGCAAAATTGACTCTTGGGGTCTTATCTTTCAAGTCATGCCACAGGATAGCAGATTTTGTCTTCTCGGTTTTTCTTGTGCCTGATGAAGACACAGGTTTATGAGGTTCTTGAAGTGGGTAAATAGGTCCACTTCTTGCCTCTTTGTTCCGAATGAAGCTTTAGGCACTGTTTTTGACATCCTCCTATTAAATCTTTCCTTTGCAAGGAGGTCCTCGAGTGACATGGCCATCTTCACTCAGATTAGAATATCAAACCACCTAAATGAGAGCAAACAAAAGAGATAGTTCAATTCCAATTAATGATTTAATGTGATGATTCTACCACAGGAAATCCGTAAAATAAAAACTCAAGTTTCAAATACCTTACTGTGTTATTTTAAATATAATCATTTCCTCATCAGATGTCTGCAATCACACAAATAAAACAAATAGAGAAAACATCAAAACTCTGAATTGCACAGGTCATATACTTCACAGTTCACACCAAAAGAAAATCTCTAGATACTTAAACCGCCAATTAGCTCCACTCTCCAATCAAGCATTTCATCGGAAGGGGGAAAAAAAAACAGAAAAGAACCTTAGATTTGAAGAAGAACTTAAGTTTCACAAAACTAGCATTGAACACCTTAATATCTGCTCAACCAAAAGAGATCAAAACAAGAGAAAACTAAATAAATAAATAAATAAACCCGTTAACATTAGAACTTTAAAAATATCAACTTTATTCTTCTTCTAATCAAAACTCAATTCTAAAGACAAGACTTCGGAAAAGTATTAAAATCTCAATTCCATATCTCTTCTAACCAAAACCCAATATTCCAACTTTGCAACAGACCCTCCAAGAACAAAAAGGGCATAATCAAGAAACATAAATATGAGCAAGCCTTAAAAGTACAAGTGTGAAAAAGGAAGTACCTTTTAGCTTGTATTATCTTCCATCAAAAGATCCCATAAACCAAACAAGAAAAACACATAAAACCCACCAAGAACTAGTGATTTCCTTTTAATTTTCTTATTTGGAAATGTGGATTAGGAAAACTATAAAAATGTCAATTCCATCTTTCTAACCAAATCAAACATTCCAGAGTGTATCTTAACTATGCAACATACCCTACAACAACAACAACAACTATGCCTCTGACTATATGAATCCTTACTGACCATGTTTCTTCATTTAAGCTCATATTATAAACTATGCAAAATACCCTCCAAGCAAAAAATAGGAAACAATCAAGAAACACAAATATGAGCAAAAGGAAGTACCTTTCAGCTTGTATTATGTTCCATCAGGAGACCCCATAAACCAAACAATAAAAACACATAAAACCCACCAAATATTAGTGAATTTCCTTTGATTGGAACTTTGGATTGAGTAAAACAAACAAAAGGGTAATAAAATCTTCCCAGAAAAACTGAGATGCTTGTGAAAGGAAAACTCAAAGGCCATTGAGTGGATGAATGAAAACAGAGGAAACAACAAAAAGAGAGGAAATTGCTCAAAAGTTACATTGGGCAGCAATGGAGAGAAAAAAACAAAGAGAAACGGACAAAATTAGAAAATGCACCAAGTACACTGGGAATTTCTAGTCACAATAGTCACTTTCAGTGTACAAGGTACAACTACGTTAGCTCTTAGTACAAGACCCGTGATGCATATGTTTATCTGGCTGAAGCTACATCTACCTACTCAGTTTGGCAGGCCAAAAGCTTTTAACTGGCCGTTTCCTTCGTCGCTTTCAAAAAACAAATAATTTCTTTTACTGAGAAATAAAAATAAATACATTTGCATACTCAAATTGCAAACTGTAAGAGAATATTTTTTGGGATTAATGCAAATTTTGGATTAATTAAATTATAATTGGACTGCTGATTTTATGGCTGTCAAATGCTATTAAAACTACCCTAACCTAAACTTTACGTTTCAAATTAGTGTTAGGTTCCTTTTTTTTTTTTTTTTTTTTTTTTGTTTGGGATTTTGATATTTGTTTAGTTTTCTAATTTTCGTTTTTTCTTAATCTCTATACTTTTTCTTTTAGCCCGTTTGACCAAGTTTTTTGAGGCAAAAATATTTTTTTTGTCAAAATAATTTTTTTAAAATTAAGGTGTTTGATCAAGTTTTTGGAAGGAAAAAAGTATTTTTCAGGAGCGGAAGCAAAAAATGATAGTTTATCTCCAAAAATACTTTTTTAAAAGTATTTTTTGGAAAAAATACACTTAGAAGCACTTTTTAAAAGTTTGGTCAAATATTAATTGCTACTCAAAAGTAATTTTCAAACTAAGTAGTCAAACACAAATTATTTTTCACTAAAAGTACATTTTTGAAAAACACTTTTGAGAAGCACGCCTCGAAATAAGGTGATTTTAGAACCTTGGCCAAATAGGCTAAAAAACATCTTGACACTCACCCAATCAACTCAGTAAATCCTACCATATATATATATATATATAAAGGAATTCAAATTTTAATAATGTTGGTAAAGGTATGATTGAGTGACATAATGATAAATTTTTCTATTATTAAATTAAAAATACATTTACGTCCTCATCAATTTTATTTTTCTTCTATATGTATAGTCTTCTTTTATGTTTCTCACGAATTTACTTTATACTATCAACTCGGATTACTAAATTAGCTATTAATTTTTGTCATACTTAATTGATCCATACACAAGAAAGCAAATTCTTTTTTGTCACTTTTTTTAACTAAAAAAATTCTTGTCGCAAGGTATAAAACTGGATGAATAATGGGCTTACCCTTTTACTATTTTTACGTAACATCATATTTTATATATGTGATAGTTCAATACCATGGCGTCTGCATAACTCACATATCATGCATTGCGCTCTCATCACTATATCAAAGTCATATAGGTGTCTTATTATTATATGAATTTTATGAAAGAAATTTAAGGGTCTTTTAATATATTTTGGTTTTAAGCAACTAGTTCCGTTGAATTACATGAACATGTGTTCAACGAGCTTCATTCACATTTGATATCTGAATGACACATTCACTACTTTAATGTTCTTTGTCATTATTGTCATACATTAATTGAAATTCAATAAAATTTGCTTGAGAACGTCACGGGAGGCTAGTAAAGCCTTGATTTAGGCCCTTAAATCTTTGAAATCTGAGAAATTTTAATAGTAGATTTTATGAGATTACTTTATTTTAGATAAGATTAAAGTTTGTAGGAAAAATAAAGAAGTACAAAATTTTGTAAAAAAGAAAGAAAGAAAGACTATCTATTGTTTAACACTAAAAGTATTTTAGAATTTTGAATTAAACTACATAAATCTTTATATTAGTAAGTATCATTTTTACAGCAATATCAAAGGTAGCTCTTCATGTCTAACATCTTCAACTACAATCTTCCTCATAACTTCCTTCCATTTAACCAAAACATCTTTGTAAGGCCGAGTTTTGAATTTTTGTACTTCTAGAGAGAAATAGGTAGCTCTCTCTCTATAATTTCTTTACAACTTTTTACAATTTGTATGTCGTTTATGTAACGACCCGACCGGTCACTTTACTTCCTAGGTCTCCGTTCCCTTAAATATGACTCTCCGTATGTGCTTTTACTGTTTTATGACTTTCGGGGATGGTTAGTTCGGAATTTGGAAGGATTCGGGTTGAAATCGGAACACTTGGTTCCTTAAGGTTGGCAAAAATGGCTAAGTTTGACTTGGTCAATATTTTAAGTAAATAACCTCAGAACCGGGATTTGATGGTCCCAATAGGTTCGTATGATGATTTTGGACTTGGGCATGTGTTCGGATCGGGTTTTGGATGACCTGGGAGCATTTCGACGCTTAAGATTCAAAGTTTGCTTATTGAAGGTTTAAAAGTTCTTTAAGTTTGGTTTAGAGTAGGTTTTGGTGTTATCGAGGTCCGTTTGGAATTACGAGCCCTGAAATAGTTCTGTATGGTGATTTAAGACTCGCACGCAAAATTTGGTATCATTCCGAGTAGTTTAAATGTGTTTCGGCGCGTTTAGAGTAAATTTGAAGAACTTGAAGTTCATAAGTTAATTAAATTTGGTTTGGGATGTGATTCTTAGTTTTAATGTTGTTTTCCGCATTCCGTGGGTGAGAGCGAGTTCGTCTTATAATTTTAAATTTATTGGTATATTTGGGCCGGACCCCGGGGGCCTCGAGTGTTAATCGGAGGACGCGCGGACCAAGTTTTGGACTAAGAGGAAATGGCTGAAGCATCCAGCTTATGTTGTAATCGCATTTGCAGAAGTCTAGCCGTAGGTGCAAGCTCGCAGAATCGAGCCATTGGCCGCAGAAGCAGCCCAGCACATGCTGCCCAGTGATTGCATAAGCGGCGCAGGGAGCGCACCTGCAGAGGCGCAGGTGCGAAGAAGATGATCGCAAAAGCGAAATAGAGTCGCAGGTGCGACGCGCTCGCCGCAGAAGCGAGCCCACAGATTCGAGCTTGTGGCCGCAGAAGCGGCTTTGGGCATTGGCCAGTGGTCGGCAGAAGCGGGGAAGCAAGCGCAGAAGAGGCACCGCAAAAGCGGGATCCCGTCCGCAGAAGCGAAGCCAGCCAGCCTAAGGCACTTCCACAGAAGTGGACCTTGGTCCGCAGATGCGGCCCAATTACCGCAGGTGCGAAATCGCTGGAGGCAGAGTGGTCTATTTAAAACGGGACTTAGGCTATTTTGAGTTCATTTATTATACACTTGGGCGATTTTGGAACTTCTTGAGAGGGGTATTCACCTAGCAACTTAGAGGTAAGTAAATTCTATCTAATGTAATTTAAGTACATAGATTAAGGGTAGATTGTAACATGTAAATTTGTGAAAATTATGAGTTTAGATTAAAAAAAAAATCTAGGTTTTGATAAAAAATAAATAAATGGGATTTAACGATGAAAATGGTTAGGGAATTTTGGAAAAATTATATATTTGAGTTCGTGAGGTTATGGGTAACAACTTTCTTCGGAAATTTCCCGAATCCGGGCACACGGGCCCGGGGATAAATTTTAGGAATCTTTCGATTAGGGTTGGGTAATTACTCTAATAGTTAGAATATGAACTTTTGAACATATATTGATTGATTTGTACAACATTTGACTAGCTTCGGATTGTTCGGCACCAAGTTTAGGCTTTAGAGTAAATTTGAGGCCGGGAAGTGAGCTTTGAGACGAGGCAAGTCTCTTGTCTAACCTTGTAAGAGGGAATTTACCCCATAGGTAATTTAAATTAATATTTACTTCTAATTGTGGGGGCTACGTACGCATGAGATGACGAGAGTCCGTGCGTAGCTACTGTTCATGCTTATGTTCGGGTAGCTTAGGACCCAAATTATGGATTACTTGTAATGTTTGTACCCTATTTGTTAATTTAAGTGCTCAAACTATGTTAGAACTTGTTAGAGGAATTGTAAACGATCGAATTTCACTTACTTGAATTTTAGCGGATTACTTGAAAGTTAATGAAAATTTTATTACATTGTATATTAGCCATGTTATAATGTTTAAGTCAAATACTTATAAAGTATCCTCTCTTTTTGTGGAGCGGGCCGAACGTCTCGGCAGTAGATAGATGCATCTATGGATCGTGCCGCACGTTCCTCGGCAGTGTACGCGTTATTCTGGGTCAGATCGTACGACCTCGGCATAAATCGTTCTTAATAATACTCGGAGCTTAATCATACTTGATATTAGTTTGTGGCTTATGAGGTTACACTTATCAATGACGGGAATTTATTTGGAACTTATTAATTTGTGAAAGAATTATTTGCTCCTTCTTGCTAATGGTTTATTATTATTAATTACATAACTCATGCTTATTTGGAATTTCTGTATTCAAATTGTTAGCCCATAGTAAGTGTCGAAGTCGACCCATCATCACTACTTCTTCGAGGTTAGACTAGATACTTACTGGGTACATGTTGTTTATGTACTCACGCTACACTTCTGCACTAATCGTGCAGGATCTGAGGCGGGTGCATCTGGCGGTACTACCAGCGCGCATCCCAGATATCCCGAGGCCTAGTGGTGAGCTGCTTCCTGAGCCGTTCTGCAGCACCTAGAGTCTCTTCTTTACATTTATTTTTATCTATTTTCATTTCAGACAGTGGCTAGAGTTTTGTATAATCTATTAGTGCTCATACACTTGTGACACCATATCTTGGCACACACACCAGCAGGCATATGGTTTTGGATTATTTTCTAGTTATGATTGCACTCAGCTGCTTTCGTCTATTTATTTACAAATTACGGTTTCTTAACCTTTTTATTTAATCACTTGAAAACTTATTAAAAGAGAAATAACATGGTTTAATTCACTGTTGGCTTGCCTAGCGATAGCGTTGGGCGCCATCACAGCCTATAAGAGAATTGGGTCGTGACACACTACATGATATTAGAGCACTAGGTTCACATAGGTCTTACAAGTCATGAACAGGCCTAATAAAGTCTTGCGGATCGGTGCAGAGACGTTTGTACTTATCTTTGAGAGGCTATAGGTTGTTAGCAAACTACTCTTTCTTCATCTTCTATCGTGCAGTCAATGTGGTACTAAGTATCTTTCTCTTATTCTCTCACATATGTTCCAGACCATGGAGGAGCTGCTCTCTCTTTTGTTAGAGGCCGAGAGAGGGCTCCAGCCCGTGGTAGGGGACGAGGATGT